GCCCTGGGGCCGGGTGGGAGCTGGCACCCCCTAGAGGGGAAAGGCCCCATGTCCCATTCCCTGTTCCCCTGATCCAGCCAGTCCCTGCCCTGGGTCCAGGTGGGAGCTGGCGCCCCCTAGAGGGGAAAGGCCCCATGTCCCATTCCCTGTTCCCCTGAGCCAGCCAGTCCCCATCCTGGGGCCAGATGGAAGCCGGCGCCCCCTAGAGGGGACAGGCCCATGTCCCATGCCCGTCCCCAATGTGGCTACGTCGGAGGCTCCGGCTCATAGTACCTGTGGCTGCAGCAGGGAGAAGAGGTCCCTGGCAGGGGCGAGCTCCTGCGCGAAGATATAGTGGTGCTTGGTCTGGAAGGCGATACCCAGGGCGCTGGCGATGCAGGGGTGAGCGGCCAGGGTCAGCGCGATGCAGTACTCACTCAGGAAGTCCCGCAGCTCAGTGTCCCGCTTCTCGATGAATTTCAGCGCCATCGGGCTGCCTGGGGGGGAAGGGACATGGGGAAGGGTCAGGGCTGCTGTCCCACACACACACCAGATCATACCCCTCCCCCTTGCTGGATTAGACCCTTCCCCTGCACCCAATCAGACCCACATATTCTCCGCCCCCCCACCTCGTGGATCAGCCCTCCCCCCACATTCTAGCTCAGCCCCCTGCCGCCCCATGCTGCTCTGTGGGGCTGCCAGGCTGTAAGATCCCAGGGCCCAGCAGCTAGCTGTGGTGTGGAGTCTGGGGACAGAGAGGCACAGTGCTCCATGCCTGGCCCTGGACAGGGCTCCCCCTCCCCAGCCGGTGCCCATCAGTGTGTGAGCGCGGTGCTGGCACTGCTGGGGGAACAGGAGCAGGGGGGTTCTGTGGGAGGTGGGACACAGACTGCCCCTCCCAGCCCTGGCGGCCCAGGCCCTACCTTGCCGCTGGTGCACAGCCAGCAGTACATGTCCATAGGAGCCGCTGCCCAGCTCCCTCAGGATGGTGTATGACTGGGTCACCTCCAGCCAGGGCAGGTTCTGCGCCGTCAGCTCCATCATCTCCTCCAGCTGCTGCTCCACGCCCCACGGTGTGGGCAGGGTCATGGCTGCGGGATGGGGAGGGATGGAGTTGTTACCACCGGGAACAGTGTCCAGACGGCCCCCCGAGGACACGGACATCAGCAGCCCAGCACTGAGACACGGCCCGCGTCGGCACCTTTGCTTTGCCGTGCTGGCCCACGTCTGGTTTTCGACCGGAACACCTGGTGGCTCTGGTCAGCACCACTGACTGGGTCATTGACTGTCCAGTTGGCAACGGAGCCTCAGAGGAGGGGCAGGGCATGGGGCAGGGCAAGGGCGTTCAGTTTTGTGCAAGTAGAAAGTTGGCAACCCTATGCCCATGCCGTGCCCAGCTGGCTAAAGCACCCTGCTCCGTTTGGGGACGGCTGCGAATTCCCACTGGGTGCCTGGGCCCCTGCACAGCGGACAAGTCTCCCCCCAGGGCTCTGGCTCACAGGGTGGAGCAGGAGACACGAGCCCAGGGGCTCAGTCTTGGGGGAGGTGAGGCCACGTGGCCTGCCCTGAAGGGAGAGTGAGACCCCTTGGGGGTTTGGCACTCAGGGTTCCTCCAAGAGACAATTTAAAAGCTGGGGCCTAGCACTGCCTCTGTGGATCCATGACAGCTGCTTATACAGGGACCCCTCGCCCAGTGTTGAGATGCGACTGCCTCTGGGGAGGGGCATGGGGGCTGTTTATACAGGGACCCCTCGCCCGGTGCTGAGATGTAGCCACCCCTGTGGTGGGGTGCAGGGGCTGTTTCACACAAGGTTACGTCCCATTGAATAATGGCCCCTCCCAAGCCCCGTGGGGCCTGACAGCAGCTTCTCCATCCCTCTCTGCATGGGCCTGGGGCGCCAAGTCATGGCTTCCTGTAGCTGTCCAGTTGTGGACCAAGGGGACGTAGCCCCCACACGGGGCTCTCTTTCCAGCCTGTGGAGGTCCCACTGATGCTCTGCCTCTGGGGTAGAGCAGCCCCCTTGCCTTAGTGACACCTCTTCCTGACTCACTAAGCCTGAACTGCCCCAGGCACCTCTACAACCCTGGGTTCTGGGGCCAAATTCATACCGGCAGCAAACCGTATATAACTTCCAAGTGAAGGCAAGGCCTTAGTCAGAGGCAGAGCCAGGGATGCAACCCAGGAGTCCTGGCTCCCAGCCCTCCTGCTCTAACCACTAGACTCCCGTCCTCTCCCAGAGTTAGGGAATAGAACCCAGGAGTCCTGGCTCCCAGCCCTCCTGCTCTAACCACTAGACCCCACTCCCCGCCCAGAGTTGGGGCGAGAACCCAGGAGTCCTGGCTGCTACCTGGACTTGCTCAGGTGAGGAAGTGGCCCTGGTGTCAGTGCCCCCCAGTGCCATGTGCAGTGAATGCGGGACCAGAAGCCATGGACGCCCCTCGGCATCTTCAGGCTGGGAGCTGCCAGCAGCAAGAGAGGGGCAGCATCGAGAGGCAAAGCCACCCAGATGAATCAATGCAGCCCGTGGGCTTGGGGGGTGCCAGGCTGCAGGGGGGCCAGATGGAGAGGGACCCCACTTACCTGCCTCCTGGAGCCGAAGCCCCACAGTATGCACAGGCAAGCCGCTGATTCCAGCCCTCTACCTTCCTGTCTGTCTGTCTGCTGGCCTGGGATGAGCCTTTTATCCCGTCCACCCCGAGCTGAAAAGGGTCCCGTGGTAGCTGGCAGGTCCCAGCTGGCAGTGCGGGCCAGGGGTCGGGTGCGGTCAGTGCTGGGGGCTGGCACTCGCTGGGCCGGGATTAGCAGGCACTTATCTGGGTTATTTTTACCAGCTGGCACTGGATACTCCAGCCCCCCAGCCCCCACTCTCATTTACTGCTCCCTTCCCTCTGGCCCCCCGGTACCATCTGTTCAGGATTAGCTTGTCCCAGGTGTTCCTGGAAAGTCAGCTCCTTACGGCAGGGGAGCCCCCCACCCTGGAACCCCACTGGGGAGCTAGGGAAGGGGAAGCAGGGCAGAGACCCTGCTGGAGTCAAGCTCCAGGGAACACCTTACCCCCAACAGAGCCCAAAGCACTTTCTGCCACTGTATACGGGGATCCCTT